TGGGGTTCTAGGTGCAATACCCCTGACAACCTACTACATCTTCAGAAGCTTCCCTAAATATGAGTGCTGGGCACTGACCACATGGGGAACCCCTATGATGATATTCTTTAACAGGTCTTGGGGGGGGGGGGGGGGTCCAGGGTAGTATCTCTGCTACTTGCATGCCTAATTAACTGTTCATTGACAGTTGATTGTTATTGTGTATTAAAGTTTGAAGGTTATGAAATTATCATGTATGGGCTATGTCATGGGAGATACTATGCAAGTAAAACAGCTATTGCTCTGGGGCTGGGCAGTGGCCTTGTTGCACCCCCACTGGAATGAAAAATTAAAAAACTAGCATTATCAAATGGGGCAGTGTGCCCAGTGCTGCCATGCACAACATCTACTGTAATAATGTTGCTGCCTCAGTAGCAGTAGTTGACAGTAGTTTCATGACATCTCATAAACCTAGATGCATCTTCATATTACACATTCCCATACTAAATTGTTCAATATGAAGGGTGGAACCCTGTACTTTATTGATATAAGCAGGGACTGCCTGACATTGACTGAGACACCTCTATATATTTTACCCATGTCATCCTTTCCAGGGGTGCTATTATTTCCCTCTGAAATCCTTTCCAGGCCATATTTCACACCCATCATGTGGCTTATGCAAGTTGTATTTTCAGTGGGCTCACAAGCAGGCAGAGTAGAAAGCTCCCCTTACCAGATAGAGTATTCAAATGTTCCTAAATGTTTTATATATCATATTTGTGTAGTAATGTTTGAATATTACTGTGCTGCTACGTGTGTGCTGCATTGTGGGAGGAGCTGCTCTTGTCAGTTAGTTATTGCACTATACTGGGTGGTAGTTTATTTGCCCTTGCAGGAACAGAGACTCTTAATGCCATCAAATCTCAGGAGACACCTCATGCCAATGCACTCAATATTTAGGTGTTGCCTTCTTGGAGGCACTGATGCACTTATAGCGACCCTCAATAGTCTATATACACTTCAATGCCTAATCCCATCATGTATCTCCTTTTAAATATCCACTGCTTTCTATTGAGATAAGATCAGACTAAGATACCCTTGGGTAACCCACCTATATTACCTCTCCTGTGTACACTGTCTTTTATTTTCTCAAACTTCCTCCAGGCCACATTTGGTCTTACAGCGAGTTCACAGCCTGCTAGGATGAATGCTCCCCACACTAGATCGTGAAATCATATCTATATTTTGTGTAATGTTTTTAAAATGCTTTCATGTTGGCACTCAATATAAACTGAGTCCATCACCCATTCTCTGTAAGAATCTGACATCAAAACATTCAACCTTTGCTTAGCAGTTCAGTCTGAGAACCAGATATGATGCCAGCTTCTTTAAAAGAAAACAAAATCCGCACACAAATAAACCCAAAGGTCCCCAAAAAGATATAGAAGACTCTTGGGGGTAGGGGTCTGTGTGCTTTAAAAAAAAACACACACAAGCTGGCAGTTCAAAACTATTTTCCTTTGTAAATGTCAAGGCTGCAATAGTAATTTCTCTACATCACAGAAATGCACCCCTTCATGGTCAGGATTAGGAAGACACGTTATGGAATTTGACATTTTTAATGTTCCACTTTAACCTTTTAAAAATCACCGATCCTGGCTGAATGGACGATTTTAATATATTTTTTTTTCCCTGATTTGTACATGTTCTTCGGGGCATTTCTGACTCCCCCATGCTATTTTTGACATCGCCTTGCCTATTAGCCCAGAAAATGGACATTTTTAATTTGACAGATTCAGCTTCCATTGATTTTAATGGAGTTCGGGATCGATATGCGAACTTCTTTGAAGTTTGCAGAATGCAAGCTGAACCAAAGTAAGGGCAGTTCTGCTCATCACTGTTTATCAATATCTGGATATTAAATTTGGACACTTGGAACAAAATTAATTAACCAGCAAGTAAAAATGCAGCAAAAAAACATAACTTATTATTATTTATACTCTTTAACAATGTTCATTTATATTAAAAGTCTGTCTGTTAGATAGTAAGCTCTCGTGAGCAGGGCCCTCCTAAAACCCTGTATTAAATAGTATTTCTAATTGTACTGTCTCTGTTTATAATGTAAAGCACTACACAAACTGTTGGTGCTATATAGATCATGTATAATAATACTACTAATAATAATAATAATAATAATAACGCCTGCAGACTATAGAATACGTCTCATATTTTACAAACATTGTCTATTGACAAAATGGCAGAACCATCAAAATTTATTGGAGGTTCAAATTTTGAAGTTCAGCACACAACTGTAACTATGTCTGCTTATTATGAAAAATATTTAAATAGAAACATTTAAAAACATTTAGCGGTTTGGGATCCTGGCAGAATTCTCATGATTTTGTCCGTCATTCCAAATCACACCTGAAACGTGGTGCAGTTTTGCCATGATAAATTGTGTGACAATCGATGCAAACCTCATTGCACAAAGATTATCACCCAAAAAGGAGCAGAAGCTTCACATAATGCAGTTCATAACCAAAAGGTCAAGTATCTGGCTTGGCTGCTTGTCCCTAAATGAGTACATGTACCAAAAGACCCCCCAGTGGGACTTTATTGCAGCAATAAGATATTACACGTATATCCAAGAGAACATTTGTGTACAAGAATTATCAGCTTTATTACATACACATATTTTTTATAAAATACATACTTTTTAAAAACATTGCTCCGACAAGTCTTACAGAAAAAAAATACCGACGCATTACGATCATTCCACATTTTTTATCTTCTTTTGGGGCATAAAGACAAGTGTTTCTAGTAAATACTTAAGCAATACAAAGTGAATATACCAAAAATAAACAATTGGCTAATAGAATTTTGTCTCATAACCAGGGATAATACTTACAAAAACATATGTCAGAGCAATTATGGAATGGATGACATCTAGGATGAGACCACATAGATCAAGGTCCCAGCAGAATGTACCATCCAAGAAAGCAAGAGTGGTCAGATGTGGGTCACCAGGGACCAACAACAGCTAGGAATCACCAAATAACCCCCCAATTGGAAATGCTAGATTCAAAAAGTAAATCAAACTAATTTGATAGACCTAGTAAAAAATATATATTCAAAGTGGTCCATAAAAAATAGAACTGACCTTGTTGAAACCAGGCCAATATGCAAGATAAATTGGGATAAATATGACAACTCAGAGCAATAGAGTGGAAGATTGAGATACTATTTCCTTCAATAAATGAGGATGTCATAGATCCCATAGGGAAAGACTGGAAGAAGTTGCCCTAATTTTTCTCTCTTTGTTTTCTTTCCTTTTTTTTGATTTCTCCACTCTAGATGACCTCCGGAATGAGTTTGGTTCTGGTCCTGTCGGATGGCCATCCTTTTCAGCATCCGGCACAGGATATGGCTGGGTATACGGGGAATTATTTCCCTGCGACCCATCCGCAGCCCCGGACAATGCGGGGTAATGTTTTCCCACTGCGTGTCCTTGCAGGGCAATTTCCCATGCCGGCGGCATCCTATGACTGCCCAGCATGTCACGTTTTGACGTGCGTGCACCCCGCCTAGTGACGCACTGCGCAGGTGCTGATGTGGCGTCATTACATCATTTCCATCATGGCAGGGGTCGACGGATGCCAGGGGAGACTCCTCCCTCACGGATGCCAGAGTAGCCACATGGCGTTATTTGTGGCGCACCCCGCTCTTTTTCAGGCTGATGACACATGTGTATCAATCACTCTCTAATGGGATAACCACCCATTTTCAATCCTATTTAAGGAGTATAACATTACATTCCATCCTTGGTTTCTTGTTCTTAAGGCAGTGGGTCTGTATCACTCTTATGACCTGGTGAGCATTGTGTTTTTGCTAAAGAGAATTAGTTGTGATTATGGATAATCTTTCAGTGTATACATGGTTTGATCTGATCTTACTCATAGATAACCGTTTGGATGCAATTTATATCAACTGAGGCTCACTACATTTCTGCCTACCAGGGATCTGGTAGCTCTGTTTCTCACAGTAGCTCCCTGTGCCTCCTTGTGGAATTGGTGAGCAAGAATTATTGTTTTTTGTGTGGCATATTAGTATGTATTATCATGTTGGGCTGACCGGTATCCCTACCTCTTGGTAGGATTTTTCTTTTAAACAATCTGTTTTCATATGTCTCTCTTTTCTAGAGAGATTTTATATTTTCAAACTTTATCATCTTGAGACCAGAATATCCTTATATTGCTTACAGTCCAATTGGGCGGTTATTTGGTGCTTCCTAGCTGCCGTTGATCCCTGGTGACCCACATCTGACCACTCTTGTTTTCTCGGATGGTACATTCCGCCGGGACCTGGATCTATGTGGTCTCATCCTAGATGTCATCCATTCCATAATTTCTCTGACATATGTTTTTGTGTAGGTATTATCCCTGGTTATGAGACAAAATTCTACTGACCAGTTGTTTATTTTGGGTATATTCACTTTTTAGTGCTTAAATGTTTACTAGAAACTTTCCCTGTCTTTATGCCCCCTGAAGAAGATAAAAAATGTGGAATGATCGAAATGCGTCGGGGTAATTTTCTCTTCCTTCTTGAGTGGTCTCTGACCTTGTGAACAAAGTTCTCTTCTAAGAATTGTCGGAACAATGTTCTTTTTAAAATGTATGTAGTTTATACAAAATATGTGTATGTAATAAAGCTAATAATTCTTTTACACAAATAATCTCTTGGATATACGTGTAATATCTTATTGCTGCAATAAAGTCCCACTGGGGGGTCTTTTGGTACACATGATGCAGTTTGCAGCGATTACCACATGATTTACCATGCAACAGTCACTGCAAAACCACACCACAATAAAAATGAATGTCATCCAAACATGCATTGTGTATTTTGCCACTATTGCAGTTCGATTTGGAATTGTGGGAAGATTCCAAATCCAAAATGTGAATGAGACATTAAGGTTCAAACAATATTTTGCAGCATTTCAATTGTTCAATTTTAACTTTCAGCTTAGTTTTCAGAGAAAAATTGGAGTTCTGTACTGTAAGAGTGGACAAGCTACTGAAGAAGAAATGTATAACAATGAGACAGCTGGACCAGCTTTTAAGGAATTTTTGAACCTTCTAGGGGATGAAGTCAAACTGAAGGGGTTTGAGAAATATCGTGCACAGCTGGACAATAAAAGTAAGTGATTGTTTTTTTCTAAAGCTTGCCAGTCTTCTAGTTTAAGTCTCTGGGGTCTACTTCAATCACCTTTTTACAAGACCAACAGGTATTTGAAACACACTTCTTAGAAATCTCTGTATGCCATAAAAAAGCATTTCTGATAGTTGAAGCCCTCTTACTCAACCCTATGGAAGAAAGACTACAAGACTTGGACATTACCCATTCATTACAATGAATATTAATAATCAAATCAACACTGCTAATATACAAAAGTTTGGCAGGCAATGCACACCTGTAAAGAAGAGGGTGTATACCTACAGTACCTCTTTTCGAATACTGCATTGATCCTGAAAATTGCCCATTTTCCCCTCCGAGGTCTGCTAGGTTTGACACTGCTGGGAGTGTTGATCTCCTAGTTCCACTGCAGCTCTTATGGAATTTCCCTGCTGACCTCCACTCCACTACTTTATCTTGTATTGACATTAAGGTCAGCATGGGGAACTAGTAAGAGCTGTGGGAGACCAAGGAGATCAACTCTTCTGGAAGTGCAGTTTCCCTGCCGAATTCAGGGAGGTGATTTCTCCGGATTGGAACAGTAGTCACCAGTATAGGCAGCAGAAGAGGTAACTGTTCCCTCACTCCTTTTACAGATATTCATTCCCCAGCAAACGTTGGTGTATCAACAGGATAAGTTTAACTCCAAAGGGGTCTATCTGTTAGTGTTTTCATTCAAGACTCACACAATCTTCACAAAAAATGTACACTTTTCTCATATAGGAGTCAATTAGAAAAATGTGTGAATTCTTGGTTAAAGTTGTGTGAGAGTTGCTTGAAAACTTTGAATAATTGATCAGGTATCCAAATAGCCTAGAAGTCTAATTGTACTTTTATAATTCTCCATGTGAAAACACTTCTATTCTGTATGAATTATATGACAGGAATTTTCAAGCATGCTGCCAGTATGTTAAACTTTGATTATTAAATTCAGGGACTCCCCCTTTGTTTGAATGATTGTAAAACGTGGATACCATTTAACCAACATTATAGTTACACACACTAATGTATAAACAGAAATCTTAATATCCTATGCTAAAAATACAAATATTTTATAACTTGTATACAAATACTAGCACTTTCATTTGTACTTGTTCACAGCTGACAGTACGGGTACTCACTCTCTCTATACTCGTTACCAAGATTATGAGATCATGTTTCATGTATCAACAATGCTTCCGTTTACTGCAAGCAACAGTCAACAGGTAACCAAAGAAAAATGAGACTCATCTTAGGTGATAGCTCAATATTTATGTTATAATTGATCATCTAATCACATTACGTGGAGAGTAATCCATAATTATATATTGAGTCACATCCATGTTTCTGTGTTTTTATTCCCTGCCATCAGAATGCACTGATCAGCATTGCAGGCTATAGCCTGTGATTCTGATCGAGCAGGGAAAACTTGTCAGGGTGGTCGTCAATCTATAGACTGAGTTCTGTACTACTGCAACCGTGCATGAATCAAAATTCATCCTGTACCTGCTGAACTGGCTGAATTGTGATCCATGTATGGTGGGCTTTACCCTTAAGCTGAAGATTACCTGTAGTAAGAGACTTGGGAACTGGAATGCATATAAATATTATTTATGACCAAATCTTGAACACAGGGCACAGTTTGTTATTGCACTGTAAGAAAGAAGTAAGATTTGGAGGGGATACAAAGGGCAGCAGCAAAATGAATAAAACAAGCAGGAGGTCAACTACCTTGAGGGAATAGGAAAATTGTGTATATAAATAAATGTATCTTTGAAATCAAAGTACAGCTTTGGCAAATTCACTTTTTGTTAAAAAGGCTGTAAAAAGAATTGGCAAGCATTAGTATTGAAGAAGGTGCTTCTTCATATGACAATCATTAACTTGCAATATTCTGGATTGCCTGAGGCAGTAAGGGGGAAATCACTAACAGAATTTTAAAAAGACTACATGCATCTTTACTACTAATTGCATCCATAGTTATATTACTAAATGATAATATGGGAGTAGATTGGTTCTGGGAAATGATCCAGCTGCCTTTGTGGCACAAGCAAATACATTGTCCCACAGTCACCCAGGAGTTTGTTGGAAGTGGAGCTTAATGGAGCTATTTTTTCTTCCAGTTACTAGGTCACATGCAAATATTATGGCACTTTTTTAAATGTCATTACCTGAGCACTTTGCTGGATGAGTGAAAACATGTTTTTTTAGGAGTGTATAAACGCCATGACATCATTTTAAAATCCAACTCCAGCGAAATCTTATTTTGAAAGCTTTGGATAGTGGGGTACGGTTAAAATCTCCATTGAGTTTTAATTGCTGTCTGTGCCCCTTTTCCAGATACTTCCTTTCAACAGTGGTGACAGCAAATGAGGAGGAATCTTTCCAATAGAGACACAGAAAAATAAACACACCCTTCTCAGTGACACCCTGTGTGACAGGTTGAGATTTAAGGTTTGAGGTTATCTCAAGGACAAGTCCAGGAAAATATCCCCAACAAGGAAGAAAAAATAACAAAATCTAAAAGGCTCTTTGTAACCTTTCCCCACTTTATCCAAAAATGTAAAAAATTTTGTCTGGATCTTGAATTTAAGGTTTTGTCTTATTGCGTGTAAAAAAGAATTTAAATACTTGATGGAGTGGTTATTTTTTATTTAACTAGCATTGTAATGAGTATATCATGTATGCCAGGTATGTTGTTTTAAAAGAGAATTCCAGGCAAAGCATGACATTCAATAATACATGTGCAACAGTAAGGGAAATCTGTACTGTTAGTAGTATGGGGGCTGCCATTGCTGACTTACGTTTAGGAGTATTTGTTGCCTGGTTGTCTTCGGTTTCAGTACTTTTTTAGTCATGGACTTGGAAAAATATACAATTTAGAAAGCCGTTGTGAGTGCAATACTCCTACTCCACACATTCTACACAGTTATTCCAAGTTAATATCAGGTTAATTCCAGGTTAATATTAGAGAGTATTAAAAAACCATTGAATCAGCATGGCAGCCATAAAACTAGCATTTCAGAAGCAGTATATAAATACCTTTTTTTTCCCCTGTTTTATAAGTGATCACATACCCTCTAAGGTCATTATGCAGCTGAGAACAGAGAGTTGGGGGAAGGAGAAACAAAAGAACACTTAACTTCCCAATGAATGGCTGCTCCAGGGGGAAGCATGTCAGCAGAAAGTCTGATCATTGGACGAGAGCACACTGAGTTCCCAGCACAGCTAGAGAACTGACCACGCTGTGCTCTCCTGCCTCTCCTAGTGTGGTCAATTTTTAATAGAAAAGCAGAGGGACTGGCAGGAACACCAGGGATTTCACACAAAGGAAGCAATACAAATTAACAGGATACTTTTTTCATACAAGTACATGGTACAGCAGACACATAGCAGGAATATGAAATGTTGGGTTTACATACTCTTTAACAGTAAATAGCAACTGGATACTTGTAAAAACCTGCTGAGAGTTAATTGGCAACTTTTAGCACAGGTAGCTTTGCAAGGCATATTTAGAAAAGATAAATTTAAAGTTTACTTAAACAAAAGGAAAGCTATGTAAGCACACAGGCAATTAGCTGTAAGTCCATAACTGTACTTCTCTTTTAAGGGTCCAAGCACACTGGGCATAAAAAATGCTGCTGATAGTGAGGCTTTTGGAATTTTTTTTTCAGCCTGTATAAGCAACTCTGTTAGCCTATTTGCCCATGCACATTGGGGCATATACAGTACAGGCATATTTGCAGAGGAGCGTTTTCAGGCAGAAAAAAACCCCATAAGAATCACTTTTTCCAAACGTGCTTTTGGGCAGAAAAAAAGCTTGGCACACATAAATGCGGCGTTTAGGAGCGTTTGGTGTTTTCAAGTGTACATTGATTATAGCAAAAAATTAACAGAGGGAAATGCTTGAAAGAAAAAACTATTATAAAAGCAAATGCCCAAAATGGAAATTTCTAATTTTTTGTTTACATCCCTAAAGTGATTCATTAATTGTCAAATTAAAGGATATGTTCACCTTTTAACCAAAAATAATTAATTTCAGAGGGTGCTATGCAGTATTCATAGAGCAGTGCACATTATTACAACTAATGTGCACCGCTCTTTCCAAAGCAAGAGAAGCAAGGGAGAACAGAAGAGCTTTCGAAGGGTGTGCAGGCAGTACAGACAGGCTGAAAAAAACAGGACATATCTCATGAAAAATTGTTCAAATGCCATTACCTAAGGGATGTGTATGGATAACTTTGAAGAGTAGTGTTATTGTTTGTTGTCACTTTAAAGTTCTAAAACAATTTTTTTATACTGTTGCATTTTGTATGGTAAGATAGTCATTGTTTAATCTATACTGATGTCATTTTGATTTTCCAGCTTCTTCGGAAGAGGCATATTGGTAATGACATTGTGACAATTGTTTTCCAAGAACCAGGTGCCCTCCCCTTCACTCCACAGACCATACGCTCCCATTTTCAGCATGTATTTATTGTGGTGAGAACTCACAATCCATGTACTGATCACACCATCTACAGTGTTGCTGTGACTCGTACGGCTGACACACCACCTTTTGGACCGCCTTTGCCTCCAACTTTGTTCCGTAGGTCACCTGAACTTAGAGATTTTCTTCTCTCCAAAGCCATAAATGGTGAAAATGCAGCTGAGCGTGGTGGCAAGTTTTTGGCGATGGCCACACGAACAAGAGAAGAGTACTTAAGAGACTTGGCTCGTGATCATGTCACCACAACTACTTTGGATTCTTGCTCCTCCAAATTAGCCATCTTGGGCCTTTCTAAGAAAAGGGACAGAGCTGGTAGCACAGGCCCTGGAGATAAAAGCGGGAAAGGAACTCGCTGGGCATACAGTGTTCCTCCTGAATTCCACAGTTCTGGCGCTCTTGTGTGGACAGTTAAAGCAACAAGTGTGTGTATTCCTGAAGGTACCTATATGCTGGGAATATCCTCTGAGATGGTAGTTTTAGTAGATCCAAAAAAGGAGCGCGAGGGAACTGTATGCTTCCACTGCTCATGCCGTGATGTACTTGGGTGGACATACTGCAACAAAGGGGGACTGGACCTTTACTATGGACGGGCAGGAAGACTGTCTCTGTGGCCAGTTGCTAACAGTGAAAGTGAGGTGGAAGCAGAAGTAAGCCACATTGTCAAGAGGCTGCAGGTGAGATAAAAGATTGTAATGGAGAAGACAATAACCAGAAGTGGTTTTACAAAAAAACTGATTGTGTTTTTATTTATCTAGTTAATGCTTATCTCATTTCACACATTTTTAAGTATTTCAACAGTTTTCTGGTCCAAAAAATGGAAAATAATTATATCCAGAGAAAATTGACCCGTATATATATCAGTGTTTTTCATTGTTTTTAATCTGTAGCACACTGTGAATTGTAGGCATACAATTATTACCTATTAATATCCTACTGAACACAACTATGCTACATTGCCAAAAGTATTGGGACGCCTGCCTTTACACGCACATGAACTTTAATGGCATGCCAGTCATAATCCGTAGGGTTCAATATTGAGTTGGCCCACCCTTTGCAGCTATAACAACTCTTCTGGGAAGGCTGTTCACAAGGTTTAGGAGTGTATCTATTGGGTTGAGGTCAGGACTCCGTGCAGGCCAGTCAAGTTCCTCCACCCCAAATTTACTCATGCATGTCTTTATAGACCTTACTTTGTGCACTGGTGTGCAATCATGTTGGAACAGGAAGGGGCCATTCCCAAACTGTTCCCACAAAGTTGAGAGCATGAAATTGTCCAAAATATCTTAGTATGCTGACGGCTTATGAATTCCCTTCACTGGAACAAAGGGGCCAAGCCCAACCCCTGAAAAACAATCCCACACCAAAATCCTCCCCTCCACCAAACTTTACACTTAGCACGATGCAGTCAGGAAAGTACCATTCTCCTGGCAACTTTCAAATCCAGACACATCCATCAGATTGCCAGACAGAGAGGTGGTGAGTTGTCACTCCAGAGAGCACATCTCCACTGCTCTACAGTCCAATGGCAGTGTGCCTTACACCACTGCATCCGACACTTTGCATTGCACTTGGTGATGCAAGGCTTGGAAGCAGCTGCTCAGCCACGGAAGCCCATTCCATGAATTTTTCTACGCACTGTTTTTGTGCTAATCTTAAGGTCACAGAAAGTTTGGAGGCGTTTAGCTATTGACTCTGCAGACAGTCGGGGACTTCTGTGCACTGTGCACTGACCCTTCAATTCACTGAGCTCCTGAGAGCGACCCATTATATAAAAAATGTTTGTAGAAGCAGTCTGCGTGCCTAGGTGCTTGATTTTATACACCTGTGGCCATGGAGGTGATGGGAACACCTGAATCCAATGATTTGGAGGGGAGTCTCAATACTTTTGTAGTGTAAATATCAGTGTTATTTTAATGGAAAATGTTAATGTTTTATCCTGCTTTTAATACTGTTTTTATCTGAAGTTTTCCTCCCTTCCATTTCTCAACTTTTTCTGTATATTGCTTTTTTTTCCTAGTCTGTTTGCTTTCTGTATCGATATGCTTTCACCTGTATATGTAACAGATTTTCCTTCTCAGACATTTACATTCCCCACATGTGATATCATTGTCCAACATTTTGTTTGTCCAAGTTTCACAAAGGCATGGTAGAATGATATCTGGAGCTTGGTACCATGGATACTTGGGGGTTGATTTACTAAAACTGGAGAGTGCAAAATCTGTGTAGCTCTGCACAGAAACCTATCAGCTTCTAGGTTTTTTTCCTTTTTTTTTTTTTTTTTTTTTTTTTTTTAATCTTAATCAACCACTTGCCTACTGGGCACTTATTCCCCCTTCCTGCCCAGGCCAATTTTCAGCTTTCAGCGCTGTCACACTTTGAATGACAATTGCGCGGTCATGCAACACTGTACCCATATGAAATTTTTATCATTTTTTTAGACAGAGCTTTCTTTTGGTGGTATTTAATCACCTCTGGGTTTTTTATTTTTTGCTATACAAACCAAAAACAACTGAAAATTTTGAAAAAAAAAGTTTTTTTCTTAGTTTTTGTTTTACAATTTTGTAAATAAGTGATTTTTCTCCATCACTGATATGCGCTAATGAGGCTGCAGTGATGGGCACTGATAGGAGGCACTGATAGGTGACACTGATGGGCACTGATGAGGAGGCACTGATAGGTGGCACTGATGGGCACTGATGAGGAGGCACTGATAGGTGGCACTGATGGGCATTGACAGCATCACTGATGGGCACTGAAAGGCAGCACTCATATATGGCACTGATATAGGTGGCACTGATAGGCGGCACTGACTGGCACTGATAGGCGGCACTAACTGGCACTATAAGGTGGGACTGATTGGCAGCACTGATAGGTGGCACTGACTGGCATTAATAGGTGGCACTGACTGGCACTGATAGGTGACACTGAAAGGCAGCTCAGATGAGCACTAATATGTGACATCGATGTGCACTGATTGGCACTGATATGTGGCATTGATGTGGCACTGATGGGCACTGGCAGGTGGCACTGATGAGCACTGACAGCTGGCATTGATGGACACTGACAGGTGGCCTGATGATCAGTGTACATGTCCCCTCCGAGGAATGCCGATTACTGGCATTTCCCTATTTACATGAGATTAGCTGTGATTGGACACAGCTGATCACATGACCGAGCCGAAATCTTCGGCTCTTTCCATTGATCGGTGATCCGCTGTGTACAAGGGACACAGCACACCGCTGCACGCTCCCGGAACCGCGCATGCGCGGTTAGAATAGGAAGACGTCATGTGACGTCCTCCCAGAACGAGAGAACCACCTTGCGCCCGTCATTTCCTTATATGGCGGGCAGGAGGTGGTTAAACAGGCTGAAGTTAGAATCTGATTGGCTGCAATGCACAGCTGTACCAGATTTTGCACTCTCCAGTTTTAGTAAATCTCCCCCTTAGTATACAAGATGGCAATAGCGATAAGCAAGTGGCCTAACATCTGGTACCAAAAGGCAATTCCACTCTTCACCGCTTAACCCAAACTTTCAGACTGCCATTAGTCTGCAGACCACATATTGGTAAACTTTGGTATATGCCAATCTTTCCACACCTCAGACGCATGAGTGATGTTGTAACTTCTTACACATGACCTGCAAGCTAGATAAACAAGCTTTGGACATAAATATTAAAAGCTTCAGTTTTGATGGCCTCCCCAATGTGTAGCCAACTTGTCAGAAAATAAGTAGCTGGAATCTTGCAAAATGTAATTATTCGTAAGCAGGTGCGGCTGTGAAAAAAGATGGTTCATTTGCTTCCGTACTGATATCTGACAATGTTAAAAAAAGAGTCAGAGCTAAGATAAATAAATATCTGACCAAGAGACAGTGGAGTTCATTTACCAAAGAAATACATGCTCTGCAATTAGAAAATGAATGCTCACTTTGGAATGTATATGTTCATTTTGCAAAGTGAATGCTAGTGAAGAAGGTAGGTCTGTGTTCACTTTGAATGCCCAGTAAGGTGATAGCAAAACTCCTTTTTGTTATTTCCCTTGCACATGACTAGGTATTCCAAGTGAGATTCCCCCATTTACTAACATTGCATTTGCAAAGTGAAATTATACTTTCCAGTGAACAGTTTATACTACTTTAATAGTCAATCAATCCCATTGTGTGCTTGATGCCTTTGAATGTGTACTGTAAGCCATGCATTTAATAAATCACCATTATGCCTGTACTGTATATTACAGAATTTCGTACATACCCTACTTTACAGATACACACAGAATTCCTCAGAAATCAAAAAGAGTGCAGCAACAGTGTGGGTATTTTACCTGTTACAGCTGTAAGGAATTGTGTTTACTGCTCAGGATGCTTGGTTTAAGAATGCAGGAAATATATTTAACTGAAGCAGGAAACACATAACTCAGGAAGTTAGACTGTCGAAGTACAGGAATAGTCTTTATACTGTAAGAATATTGGTGAATAACAAATATGTATGTTATGTACTAAAGGTATGCCATCAGAGAAAAAAAAAATGAGTGAATGTAAACTATAGGACGATAACAAGATTGTATGATTAAATATTTCAACAGATTGGGTATTAAAATGCCCAAATTTCAGATGACTAATAGACAGCTGGAAATCAGTAATAGTGCAGCAAACTCTTCAAGATACGAAAAAACACAAAAATAACACTTTCCTATCAGTGAACCACTGGACTGTGCTATCTGAGTCTTCTGCACGGAAAGGGCAACATGGTGCTGACAATTGTCAATATAGTATAATGCCATATATTTATATTTTTTAAATATTATACAAGTATGTATCTTTTGTCTGTGACACAAATTCACAAATGCTAACGACAAATTGTGTTTGTGAGTTTCCACCATTGACCTTTTGGGCAATATTTGCATAGCCAGGATAGGCTCAAAGATCCCAATGAAAGCATGTTGTTTTCCAGATAAGGAGAAGGATGTGCACCAATGAATATATAATATAGTTGCCAAATGTCAATACTTTAATGGATAGCCCCTTGTCAAGAATATTAGTCCCTATCAAGATTACAAATGCAGTGCATGATATGTCTACATGCAGTATACTGCTTATGCTAAATCTTTATATTTCATTAACCACTTCCAGTCCAGACACTTTGACCCCCTTCCTTTCCAGGCCAATTTTCAACTTTCAGCGCTATCACACTTTGAATGACAATTGCGCGCTCATGCAACACTGTACCCATATGAATTTTTTAGCATTTTTTTTTTTAGACAGATAAAGCTTTATTTTGGTGGTATTTATTCACCACTGGGATTTTTATTTTTTTTGCTATATAAATGAAAAAGTCCAAAAATATTGAAAAAAAGTGTTTTTCTTATAAAATTTTTCATCATAATTCTTGGCCAAAATGTATTCAGTTATCTTTTTAGTAAATAAAAAAATAACCCAAATTAGTTTATAACCAAAAATTATAATTTTTTTTATTTTTTTTACATTTTTATTTTTTTTTTTTTTTTTTTATTTTTTTTTTTTTACATACTGTCACCCTAGCAGTACAATGTCACCATGGTGACACTGTACTACATGTAGGGGGTGATGAAGATTTTTTTGTTTTTTTTTCACACTGATTGCTTTTACACCCATAAAGGCCGTAAACCAATCATGTCTCCTTCTCTCTGGCTGCATTCTTGCAGCCATTGAGAACTACTGTGTGAGCTGTGATTGGTCACAGCTTGTCACATGGTAAAAGGCTGTTGTGAATAGCCTTGTACCATGTGACCTCTGTGATCATTAACAGATTTCACACGTAGTAAGCAATGATGTCAGAAGTGACATCTTGCTTACTACTCTGCATATGATCACTGATTGGCCAATCAGTGATCACATGATTGGGACCTCGCGCAGAGGTCCCGTACGATGATCGGTGTTCCACCATGTCCAGAGGACACAGCAGGCTCCGGATCGCGGTGCTATGCGCTCCCAGGGAGCGCGCACAGTCCATAATTGCAGGCACCATTTGTGAACACCAACCCACCCCTGGACTGCCACCGTCCAGCTGCCAGACGGCAAGTGGTTAAGAGGGTATAGTGCGGGGGTCAGCAACCAGTAGATCTTGGCCAGCTGACTGGTAGATCATGGTCTGGGACAGGAAGCGGTGTGTTGCTTTCTCACCACCTGATTTAGGCCCTTGGACCCTGCAGAAGCATGCAGTTGCAGGGCACTTGCAGAGTGTCCCATTTACTTGAATGGATCTTGGCTGACAGGTTGTAGCACCTATCAAAAGCAACAAGGGGTGTTATTCCTGCGGCAGCATGTGCAGACCTTTGGCTGCTGCCTCAGCCGGGCGGGACACTTGCCATATGAAGTCCTGTCAAAACAAGCCGCCCACGCGCCCTGCCATGCCATCCATTGTATACAATTACGTTGTTAGCTGTGATTGATCAAAGCAGTCACATGATAGACAGGGCCATTCACCGCCCATCTGTATCATATGATCAGCTTTGCCCAATCACAGCTAATCACAACAAAAGACTGAATCAGTTTCATTCAGTAACAATGATTGCAAATATCAATGAAATACATTGGTATTAGCAATCATAATGTTAAAAAAAAAAAATCCTGATCACTTGCCCAGAGTAGCTCAATGTTACTATGGTAACATTGTATTGCTTTGATCACAGTGTGTTTGAAAAAAAATAGTAAAAAAAAGAAAAAAGTGAAGAAAAAATACAAATTAAATTATTATTATTATTTTTTATTTTTATTATTTTCACCAAAGAAATGTAGCAGAATGCATTTTAACTTAAATTTAAGAAGAAATGTTATTTATTTGCAAAATTTTATAACAGAAACGAAGAAAAGTGCGTTTTGTTTTTTTCAAAAGTTTAAGGGTGTTTTTTGTTTTATTTAACAAAAAATAAAAAACTCAGTGTTGATTAAATACCACCAAAAGAAAGCTCTATTTGTGCGAAAAAAGATCCAACCACAAAACATATGCGCTCTTGCGATGCTAGGAGCGCGCTGACGTCACACCACTCAAGCCCCGCCCTACGTGTTTCGTCATTCACCGTCCTCACGGAGCGCATATGTTTTGTGGTTGGATCTATTCCTTGGCATCTGTCTGTGCTCATCATGCTGGTGTCGCTTGGGCATCGTTTTTTGTAAGTGTGTTTTTGTCTATATTAAAGCAGTGTTTTTAAGAAGTACTGCATCATGAGCTTCTTTTTTTATTCCGAGTGGCCATTCCAATACCTCTTAAACAAAATAGGATGTGAATAAAGTGGATCTTCAGAGTCTCCTGCAGAGTTTTATTCCAGGAAATCGTTTCTTCCAAGCCAAAGCTTTGCTTCAATTGTCTTCAGATCGTTGCTCCCGGAGCAAAAAAGCGCTTATGCTGGTTTATAATTTAATCAGCATATTGCTCTGGTGAGTTTATTCAGTTCATTTGGTGGTGGATTCACTTGGTGGATTTTATTTCAAAAAGGAATTTTTTAATTTCATCTTTTTTTTTTTTTCTACTATCACATATTTTTTGGGACTTTCTATAAGTGACTTATATTTTGGGACTTTAAGAATATTTCTTTGGGATTGATATGTTTTAGATTTTATAATTTTTTTGTCTATGTCACAGTATATATATATTTTGTGTTTTTATATTTAGTACTAGCGCAGTCTTATTTTTCTGCATTTGTATGCACCTTCACAAAGGTTAGACTTTGCAGCTGGTTTTGTGGTTAATTAGGGTTTATTATTTCTTTTATTTTTTGTTTGGCGCTATCTATATTTATTTAGTCAAAAGAGTGTTTTGCCCAAACAGTAATTAGTTGGAAGCTGCTAGACGTGCCAGTGGAATGCATAGCCTGTGTTCCCCTTTTAATAACAGACATTGTAATGACACCTATATTGCTGTCCTTTTATCAGGGTGAAAGTAACCTTAGACCAAAAAAGAGATTAGTGAAAAGAGATTCACAAGAAAGCGGCTACATTATGGACAGAATGCGATACTCAGAAAAATTTCCAAAAATTATGCTTTATTACACATTAATGATTGACAATCGGGCAATCGCCCTGGTTTACCATCACCTCAGTATGAGACAATACACACAGACCTAAAACCATTAAAATCACACCAAGACCGGTCTGGATATATATGTGCTGCAAAGGCTATGACAACCATAGTCTAAAGTATTTGCAGCACCGCACATTGGTTACACTCCCTGTAGGAGGTGTTTTCAAAAAATTGTACCATAGGTATATAATA